ATTCTGGTCCAAAGTATTTCCATTGTAAAAAAAATACAATCATACATGTATCAAAAAGTGCAAAAGACAGGAGTAGTTTAATAGATCCCAACAAACAACTTGAGGAACACCAAATCATATTGCAGTAATGCGTGCTCCATCAGTCATATATACAAGCATCTTCTTACACACAATACATGCACCAGTACATGTACATATCTAACGATAAGCAGTGTTGATTAAGAAATTAAGATTGTGTTCAGAAGTGTTTGTTTATTCCTAAGGTTATCTGGCACAAAGCTCATATTTGGGTCAAGAACAGGGTTGTAGACATAACATGAAAACCTTGGGGGTTTTTTGCAAGACATACATGTACATGTACACTGTAGATATCCATGAGTAGTTGTATTCAGCGTTATACACATTCACTGAATACAACTTTACATGTCTGTTCTGGATAAATTGCTTTGAAAGACATGAGGAGACTTGTTACATGTACCGGTAAGTGGAAACTTCCTCATAAGTAATAGTATTTATTTAAAAGACACAACTAACTGAAATAAAACAAACGTAACAGGAATGTAAACAGTGTTGTAACATGTAAAACAAAAGAGGAAGTTGTTATTAAGTATGTTTTAGATCTGTACACCACTGTAAATTCCTTTGCCAAAACTACAGCCTTTTCTTACACAACAACTTACCCTTGAACTTTGCTGTGTTTTTTTCGCCCAGCAATGTTATTTTCAGTCCATCTGACCTTTCCCCAAATTCCACAGATGTGTGGACAGTGTTTAAAACAAGCTACCCCTGGAAAAAGATTGACCGAAAGAAATATCCATGACATAATTAGATTTATAAATAATCTCCTTAATCCTTTGACAGGCTACAGACCAGCTCTCCTTCTTGTAAAATGCCAATGCTAATTGCAGGGCATTCGTTGGTAAGGGGCCGCTGTTAGAAACAGACCCAGGGAAAATTCCAAAAGAGTTGACCACAATAGGGAAGAGTTGCTGTGTACAGCTCTTAGGCAGTTCCCCCCTCCCCTTCCTGACACACTCACACACAAACACACCCAGGAGAGCTTATCCCTTTGGTTCATACCATGCTTGACTAAGTCTTGCGTTGGCGTTGGGGTTCAAAATCAATAGCCTATTACTGTGGCAGGGGCCCCACACCAAGTCCTCACATTGGGGCTGTTGTCAGTCAGGTTCATCAGAAATGTGAAGGACAGACTGGTGTCTGTCTCCCCTCTGGGATTGCACAGCACTCATGGTCCTCTGCACACACAGGCATACCTACCGGTACCTGCACACTGCTATGAGGTATTTTGGAGTACATGTAGCTGCACGTTAATTCCCAACTAAGGCAGGGAGGTGTTTTGGACAGCTAGTGAACCGGGACGAGAAGTTGTTCGGCAGGGTTCAGTCATGTCGGGGCGGCCAGTGATAGTGTTGGAGTCTATGGGCCCTGAAAGAGCCAGAGTAAGTACATGTACATGTGCAGCATGGAAAAGTTTTCTTATTATTTGTAGCCCCTGCACATGTACATTTACATAACATGTACAATGTACAGTGCATTTATGGTTACAGTACTTCTCACAGTCACAGCCTTGAACATGCTTTCTCCTTTTTATAACATTAATCATTGCATTCACCATGTACGGTAACAATTATCCAAGTTTTTATTACATGTATGTACATTAAACTATTTTGAACAATGTGCCAATTGTAAGTCTTTAGTTTTGCATGCAACTCTAGTCTTCTGCTTCTCCAGTAAAACATACCAGTAGTTAATGTTTGAACATAGTTTGGTATCATTGGATTTGATTTGTAAATGGGGAGAACCTCGGAAGTGTTGCAGACTTGAAAAATATCGGGGCGTTGGCAGTAGGAAATCATTTTATATACAATGTATCATGTGTCCAGGGTAAAGGTGCAGGTGATACCTGTGCTTCTTTAAGCTTCACATAAATGTTGAAAATTCAAAGCTGATTTATTATGGTGTTATCATTTGCAGATGTAATTGGATACAGGTATTTGCCTTGCACATGTTAATTTGTATTGCACTTTATTTTGTGTCCTGTCATCTGATTGGTGGATCGTAATTTTGTTTTTGAGTGCAAACTGCGAAATAATCCCTTGATTCTGGGTACCAGTACCATGCATTGAAGTAGTTGATGTTTTACCCATAATGCATGAATGACCAGCCTAAGCTCGGGCCATAATTCAGTTTGCCAGAATAGTGCATGGTACATGTACCCTTAATCACACAATTCGCTTTTAAGCTTGTGCAGAAAGGGGCCCTGTTTTTCTTTTCTTTTACCTCATGATGTGCTTGGGATTGTTAGGATTAAAGCAATTTTTTAAAGCCTAGCTTGTACCAAAAAGTCTGCTCAGATTAGAAAGTACAGGTAATAGAGCTATACTGATTAAAAGGATTTCTGAAAAAAAAATCTCAAGAATTTAAGAGTAAATGAATTGGGGTTCCTACCATTTCCTTACCATTACTTGCATACAAACATTTATGTTTTTGTACAATTGCAAGAGAATTCCTCCACATACTAGACGATTAAATCTTAATTTATGGGGCACTTTTCATGAAACCTTTGAAAATTGTTTAGAGTTTGAAGCTCAAAAGTTTGCCATAACATTTTGTTCTACCCGAGGTGAATATGGATAAGGAATTAATGGAATTGAAAACCTGTTGTGGAGAGTCTTACACCTATCAGTACATGAATTTGCTCTTGAGAAAGGTTTAATGTCCTAGCAAATATTTTTTTAAATTTTACTGGGTTGTTTATGTATATTTTTGTGAGCTGAATCTGTATACACATGCATGACCATGACCAACTGACCAAAGACTAACTTGGCCAAGCTGTACAAATAGCCAAGCTCTACATGTACGCACCATGTACATGTTCAGTTTATACATGTACATGTATGTATACATCTCTACATGTACATTGCAGTTGAAGAATGTATTCAGGCATGGTTGAGTTTGTGTGCCCTTTTTTGTTCATGTACAGTGTAATGTGGGTGTGAAACGTCTGGTGAGTATTGTTGGAAAGGAAATGTCACTATGCAGTTGTGGAGTTGCCAAGTCAGACAATTTTGTGAGGTTCTCCCCCCCCCCACCTTCCCCTCTGCAAACAATCAACATTGGTGATTGTAAATACAGGTGGGCTGCCCTGCAGTGGTTCTGGCACCTTTCTACATGTACATGTCTGGAAAATCTATTTACTGACGGGCCCTCTAAATAGGAAAACACCTGATTGTAAAGAAAGACGCATGTTTCAGATCAGGCAGAGAGCGCCATCAGTTGATGCCAAGAGATCTATGATTAAGCATGTACCATATGTGCACATGTATTATTGTAAAGTGCATGTCATTGTGCCAGCTTGATAGCTCCTCTATCTATGCTCATGACCTCAAAATCAATGTATGGCACCAAACAGTTTGCTGTGTATTCCTTAAAGTTGTTTCACTCTCCCGTCTTAATTTCTGCAAAAATGAAACAAAAACGAGCAAAGAATACCCCTCCAAAAAGTGTGTGACATGAATATTCTCTTTTGGGGTTGGGGATCTTTCTTGTCACCAACTGACAATCAAAAATATTTATTGACTCAGCAAAAACATATTTTGTCTGGTAATTTCTTACCGATACATGCACATGTAATAAGTGTGTTGTTGAATCATTTCATAAAGAAACTCTCATCTGAATTTTTGGGCATGTTGGCCAATTTCAAAAAAGGAAAAACAGTACCGAGATACTTGTTAAATGCCAATTTTACCGGCAGAGTTGGAACAAAGTTGTCAATATTAATGTCTGATATTACAAATGTATGCAAAAACAAAAGGGCCAGCCTACATGTACATCATGTATGTAATTACCATACCCGTTAAAGCGTGTGGATGGAATATTTCATTCTGTTTGGAAGGGGTGATCAGGTTCTCAAGTGAGTAGGTGAGTGGAATAGACTACTAGTAGATGTTCCCATATGGTAACATGGGACATTTTTAAGACAGCATTCCAAGTTTGATTAAATGTGTTTTTAGATATTTAGACAGGTACATGTACATGAAGTGTTCCTGGACTTTGTGAATTTTGATGTATTGCCTAATCTGTTGTTTTGATTCAGGCACTGTCTGGACACAGAGGCGGACATGTTTGGCTTAGATAAAGACTTTGCTCATCACAATAGGGAATATCAGTTACATAGAAGGCCCACTGAAATAACAGCCATGCTAACAGAAAAATGTAATGTAAATATTTTGTCAAGTAACTTCTTACTGATAAGTGTGTTTTAGAATCGGTTTTTAACTAAGCCAAATTTAATTTATGTCTTGTTTGCCTTTGTCATGCATACTTACTCTTTGAAAAGTTCAGATGTTTGTCGGAGAAGTATTGCTTAAGTTTGGGGACTTGGACTTTTTGATTAACTCTGAGAAATGAACTCTTTTGAAAAAAAATAACTTTATAAATCAGGCAGAAATACTGGTACCAGTACATGTACAGTAGTTTATGCTTGTGAGATAGTACTGTACAGGTGTATTTACATTTTTTTGCACATGTTTAATCATAATTATGTACCTGTGCATGTACATGTGCCTTTTGCACATGTGGGTCCACGTACTCTAATGAACTGTACATGTAACTGTGCCTTACTATATGTTTACTTGCGGTAACTTTGCTTGAAAAATACATGTATGTGTACTTAATTGAAAATGTCGTTTTCAGGATTGCATGGAGTGTTGGTACAGTGACAAACTTGGCTTTAACTGTCTTTTATGCATACATACCGGTATTAAAAGATGACTGCTTTTTGATCACTTTTTTGCTGATGAAAGTTTTTTAAAAATTGATAGCTGGTTTTTAAAAAAAATCCAAACAGGTCAAGTCCTTGAAATCCAAGGACTTTGTAATGTACATGTGCATTTAGAATCATTCATGCATGAGTCATACTTAGTTGAATCCCAGCCAGATAGTGAAATACCGGTACAGGTACATGTAAACCCAGTGCATTTATGAGGAGACATGTATTGTGGTTCAGTGTGACTACCGCTACATGTCAAGTGTGTATTGTGTGTGTGTGTCACAAATGGAAACACCGTATGGTGTAACTGAATTGACGGCTCAACCATCTGATTATGAATTCTAATGCGTGCACTTTGATATTTAACCACAATCCCCCTCAAAGTAGAGCTCTTTTTTTGTCCCCCTCGTTCGTGCTCGTCCTTTTTTTGTCTTCTTTCCTTCTCTTGGAGCATTCGCACAATGCAGTCACGACCACCGAAGCCAGCCTAGATTTGGATTGAATGATGAATACTAATGAGCCGAGGCACCATCAAGCAGTTTGGGATTCATCCATAAAGGATTTGCTTGTACCCGCAGATGCCAAGTAGAAAAGCCATAAATGTTTCATCTACCGTTTGGCAGACAAACCTGGGATGGTTAGTCAGGGTATTTGAACAGTTTGTAGTAAATGTCTCTAGATGGATATTAAAACAGCGGACAGGAGAAGGACACTGCAGATATTTTAATTGGGCAGTAAGACACTTGCAGGCTGTGGGGGTTGGAAGGTGGAGAGACTGTTGGAGGCAGTGTTGACATAGCCTTCTGACGACTTCTGCTCTTGATTCTCATAATTTGTGCGACTGACAGACAGCCTGAGCTGTACGTTGTTGTTTTACTGCCGCTCAGCTTAATGGCCCCTGGACCTGTTGCTCTGTAAGGTAGTCTGTGCATTGCCCTTCAAGGAGAAATGATTCAAGCGGTGGAGCTTGCTGTTTATTGGGGTGTCACACGGTGACCCATGGATGTTGATTTTTTTCTCTCTCTCCACAATTTATGTGAGGTGTGATGCTCTCGCTTCACCACTTGTTGAACCAGCTGGTGATGAATGGACATGAACAGACGGTGATGTAAGTTAGCGATTAATGGGAAAAAATCGGTCAGAATTGTGTACTGATACCACGGCGTTGTACATTTCCAACAGTTGCAAAAGAAAGTGATGTCTGAATTAAAGCATTTTTTCTAAATGTGGAAATGAACATAAACTTGCTTTAAGGCAAAATGGTCACATTCATAGTGGCAGCAGCCAGGCTGACGTTACTCTTGTAACATAATAAACCGGAAAGGAAAAAACAAGCTTCAACAATCTGTGATAACCTCATGGGTCAAAACATTGTTTACCTACGCAGCAGAGTGGGACTGATGAACCATATCATCAGCCAAGATAACATGTCCTTGCTTGACAAAATTGATGTTCTGGATCACTGGAATTGTGTGCACTCCCAATCTGGATATTGACGAAAGGACAGACTTTATGTTGCTGATGAACTTCAAGTTTGACCTGTGTAGGGCAGAATTCTTCATCGGAGAGTGAAGAGGTCCATCGGCGGTTGACCAGGCCAGCAGCAACCATACAATACGGCATTGGACACGCAGAAAATTTCATACAGTCTCACGGTACAGGGGCATATGTTTTGATGTTGTAAGGGGACAGGAACTCTGGGAAACCCTGAAAGATGCTGCGATTGTGCTAGAGCATTTTGAGAGCAGTGCGTCTGCACATAATGAGCGGAATTTGCACAGGGCTTAGTGGACTATGACATGGAACTGTCATTGATCTAGGTGATGCGTGTACGTGATATCGACTGGAACATATGGTATACATTGCACATTGATGTGTATGCACACACATATGCGAGAGCAGTGCACAGGCAAGTACATGCACATGCTGAGATAAAGCCAGCGATATATTTTTCTATTCTCTTTGTGGATTGGGCCTGTCTTCGGACATCATCGAGTCGAAAACTGAAGGGCGCAGAGAGGACAACTTCTCAACTCTTTTTTTTCCTTCACAGCCACTATGCGTGACATTGGATTAATGCTAACAATGGGAGGAATACAGCGCTGCAATATTTTATCAGCATCCCAGTTGGAGTATCATCTTCAAATGAGTCCCATGTCAGAAAGACATTGAGTACACGCTGGTACACTTATTCTGAAGTTTGACTTTGTTGATGGAAAAAACATACTTGTACCTGTACAGTAGCTCCAGATTGATAAATATCCAGTATTTCCACAGAAATTGATGCTTTAGTTTCCACCACCTTCTCTGGTTGCAGATCCTTTTGTTGTGATGCAAACATCTACCGCCATTGTCTATTTCAGGATAAACATGACAGTTAGAAATTTGGATGTGCATTATGAAAATGTTTGTTGATGACTTCATCACATGAAAGTTTCCATTTTCCCCCGCCACTTGTGTGGATGTTTTCAAAGCTGCAGCTGTGTGCACTTGATGTCAGGCTCTTTTTACAGTACCCATTCAAGTCATGGCCTGTGCTGTTTGAAAAGCCAAATGAGGTGCGCTGAAAGAAAAGCAGCAAAAACGGCTGTCAACTTTCCATACCAGTGTATACAGGTACATGCTTCTCATCATTGACGTTTCTTGTGTTGGTTTGAATCATCAAAGTGCCGTGACCTTCTGTGGCATTTGATACCCATCAAGTGACTTATTTACATTTTCTATCGTCAACTTGAGCGCTGTCACTTTATTACTGATGCACATATGAAATTGAATCCAGTGCTTTTCTGAATTGTGCAGAAGTTGCAGATTATTTTTATCCCAAACGGATGCTATTTTCTGAATATGCAATCAGACCAAGATGTCAAAATTTGCACATTTCAGGCTTGAAAAAAATCAAAGAGCTAAAATATAATTTGTGATGAAATTGCATTTTCAGAGAACAGTTGTATTGCATTTGAATTTTGAAAGAACAGTTATATTGCAGAAAAGAAGGGAGAAGTGATATTTTGCGACCCCAGTGTCAAATTGTCACCAAATACAAACATCTTTGAAACACTATAAGTGATGACCAAGCAATTCTGAAACAGGCAGCCCACAGTGACAGGAAGGAAGTTGTCGATGGCTAGTGGCAAATCTCTGAAAGGAAGAATGATGAGTGAATTAATTGGCCTGTGATAAAGCTGATACAGATAACCTGGAATTGTTTATGCGGAATTTGTTTTTGCATCAATGTGTTTACAATCGCATTTTTTTTAAAAACAAGAGTCAGTTTCCAGGAAATGTTTTCTCCCGAAACTTGTGAAACATGGAGGAATTGCTTTCAAGTCATCGTGCGCCAATGCTATAGATTGTTTTTGATTTATTTCACCTTCAAATGCGTGGTTGAAGAGAATTTCTGCCCATCTGATGGAAAGTTTTATATTGAACTCACATGCTTGGCCTATGAAACTTTTAGACACAACACAAACTACTCAAAATCAGTGGCTGCAAAGACGCAACTGGTGTGAAGTTTATTCCTCGCTGCCAGCCTATGTTTTTGTCCTTACATTCCTACGCATACTCCGCACCTTCATTTGATACTTCGGTTGAAACGATTGTTGTCAAATCTTCTAATCTATGATAAGAACATGCACCATACTGCAGTGGGTCTGCGGCTTCCACAGCATAACTGTTGAGACACGTTGCTGCTCCCACTTCGTTCTACTGTTACCACTGCTGTTCTTTAGAGGCTGGACATTTCCCGTCAGACAGCAGCAATGGAAAATAGCAGTAGCGCATCCAACATGAAGCTGCACATGAAGGCTTTGATCACCTCGCCGCGTTTCATCCGCAAGCGCTTTGCCAGCTTGCCGTACATCACCGTGCAGCCGGTGAGTTACTCTCCCACTTTACTGGTCACATTGCATGCAGGCTGTTCTTTGAGTCGATATTGGAAGAAAGAGTGATTTCTGACATGAAGTCAGGGATGATCCACTGAAGTCATTTTTGAGTAGAAGTGCAGATATGTATTTAATCCTAATCGTGGAAGTTTGCATAAAGAATGTTTAAACTAAAACCTCTTGAAGGGTCCATGTGATGAATTTTTCGTATTTTCTTAGGCATGCTTTCTTGCATCCTAAAACTCTTCTTAAATGTATGAAAACTATTTGAAGTACTTTTCAAGTCAAATGTACCGTATTAAAAAGTTTGTGTTTTTATTTTAAGTTTTTCTGGACAACAGAGGGCACTTTTGCCTTTATGTTTTACATCGGTTTTTACAGTTCAATATCTGAACTCAAAGTTTGCTCTTTTACAACATTTCTCATGTGAAAATTAGCATCAGCATAATAGCAACATATGCCCCCAAATACCTTAAAAATGACGTAAACTTTAAGATGCATTATCCAAGGGTGTATTGAACAAAATTAATTGCATGGGCCCTTGATATTTTCTGAATAATATTCACACACCCCCCCAAAAAAGTCAATGCTTGTAGACAGCTACAACGTACTGGTAATTATCAGTATGTAGTTTTCATTTTTGTACTCTAAAAAATATTAAGAAAACGAGAGCACCTTCACAAAATTCCTGTTAAGGGTGGGGGTCAAATAGCCTTCAAATACAGTACAGTTATCTCAACGGTCATGTCTCTGCGAATATGTACTGTACGTTGTACATGTTTAATTACTTTTCTGCTTTTTGTACACAAATTTGCTTTTGAATTTGGAATGAGTGTCTCCTCTTCCCCACGGACCTTTGTACAGTACGTGCACGCACACGCCTAGTGTATGTATACTCGTGCAGCGTGTGCCTGCAGAAATGCCACAACAAATTAAATTTAATTGAATTGGCTGCAAAACCAGGTACATTGAAGCTTTGGGGGAAAATGCCATTGCTGCATTCATGAGTAAATGATGTCTAATGGAGACTGAAACCAATTTGCCATGAATAAATTATTACATCGGCCTTTCTAAGGTTTCACATTATATGTACATGTACTTATTGTAGGCGATTGGCGTGAGATCTACCGGTGCCTGCAAAACCACAGACCTGTAGTTTTCTTGCAGAAAGTGTTTTTCTTAATTTCATGGTCTGCATGCTCCCTTTCTGAATCTCATGGCCTCTTCGTACATGTGCAGTAAATGTATTTGGTGGTTGTGCTGTTTCTGTAGTTTTCTTTTAACGCAGATGTTAATTACCGGTAGCTCTCTACCTGTGTGTGACATACATGTAAGAGAGGCTGATATATGAAGATATAAAAACATGAATAAATTTTATTGGCTGTGGTTAATCCGAGCAAAACAAAAAGACACTTGTTTTTCTATGGAATTCTGATGGGTTTACTAGAGTAGGATTTATTTTTTTCCTGTTCGATAATTTCTTTTTAGTTCAGCAGGGTTAAGGTTAGCGCTAGTTACCTGTACCGGTACATGGAACAAAATCAAAATCAATTGGATTTTGTGATGTCAACAAGCAGGGATTCTCCTGGTGAAGTGGGTCGTCTTACATGTAATTTGAAAAGGAAACCCTGTCACCAAGTATAATCAGTGTACTGTTTTTGTGTTAATCATAATGAACCTAGTTTTCATTTCAAATAGAATTTTCTTAGCTTTGTGTTGGCTACCGGTAGATGTTACTTTAATAATGTTGATCCCCTTTTAGGATTTGGAAGCCAATTTTGTGAGTAAGAACACACATGGATGTACATATTATACATGTACATGTACAGTACATGTGAGCTTCACAGAAACTTCCCTGGTAGGAATATCTGTTACATGCAGTATTGAGCCAACAGTTGGGTAACTGTTTTGTTTCACATATGCCCGAAAACTGCTCAAATACCATCACACACCAGTTTTGCCTCTTGTGTTTACTTTCCACTGGGAAAAAGATTAATCAGTTAAAAACAGGTGTGCAGTAATGTCCCTTGTGACATAGAATGATTGCACATGATGCAATGACTGTCACAGAGCTGGGTCAAAACCACTCCAGAGCTGTGACCTCTGTCCTCGTTTCAACTTGGTTAGGGGAATCAATTTGTCACGGGAACTCTGTTTCCAGCTAATCTTTCCCATTGACCTCTGACTTTTGTGTTTGGAAGTGATACCTTGCTCTTTCTTTTATTGAAAGAGGACGAAAACAAAAGAGGCAGGGCAGATGTGGGCTTTGTCGTAAAAAAGATTGCCGAGAAGGGTGAGATACATGTAAATGTAGTATACCCCAGTATCAGTTGCAGATTTACTATGGAAAATCTGACAGTGTGTACAGTGACTAGAGGGTTGGATAATTGTTCATTGAAGTGTGTGAGTAACTCTTGTGTGAGCCCTGATTATCTGTCACTGCTGTTGTTTGTTAATGTTATCGGTTTATATGATCACGATGTGGGCCATAAATAAAACCACATCAGAAAAAGCTGGGGTGGACTCACAAGGGTCATCTGTGACTGTGTAGGAGTAAATGTTTCTGCTGTGACAGTTGGTTGTCATTAAAAAAGAAAAAAATCCGAAGACTCTGACGTCAGTGGTACCGGTAGCTTCAAAAGAACTTTCCAGCTTTGCGGTCACATGCCGGTGAAGTGGGCACTTCCGTCAGTGACCACGCTCACTCTTGGAAGGAAGCACATGGGTTTTTTATTTGGTGGCAGGTTTCTAGATTATTTGACAAGTCAACAGTGATCAGTCAACACTGGTATTTTTTGTTGGAATACAGAGGCTCTTAAGTATACATGTACATGTACTTTGCAGTGTGTAGCTTAAATGTTTGAACTGTTACTGCAAGTGAATAATCGTGACTGCTATAAGTTTGCTCTAATGCATAGTCAACATTACTGGGACAAAAGATAAACTCCACAGACAAGTGTAGTGCAGATAGCTTATAGAGTGTAGGTTACAGAAACTGGCTGCACTTGTGAAAACTTGATGAAGCTCAAGACAGCCAAACTGCGCTCTAGGAATTCTGGGTCTCCATCCACCAACAGAAAGGTAAGAGGACCTGCCAGCAGATGGCCAAAAATTTCAAGATCTCTTGCACCGCGTTTACACTTGATCCTGCAAACAAGGATCAGATCCGGTGAGACCAATCAAGCGAGGGGGATCAGATCTGTGCCGTGGTTACACTGGATCCTGATCCCGCTTGGCGTCGATGAAGCCCTGCAACTTCAGGGTAATGGTTACACAAACAGTACACTGATTATGCGCACTGGAGCAAAACGGCAGCCAGTATTACGTGTACTTAAGTGCTGTGTATACGTCTCGTTGTCTTATCTCATGTTGTTAAAGATGAAAAATGGGGAAATGGAAGGTTTGGGATGAGCATTATGCATCGGTAACGAAAGCCACGAAGGTGACGTGGAAAAAGCATGGGAATGTGCAAGTACCAGTTTACTACCAACTCACAGTATGAAAGCACATGGGCTTAATTGGGAACAAGCGTAATGCTGGTTATGTACGTGCCGGCCGGGCCAACAGCATATGTATGGTACGTGTACATTGTCATTTAAGTATACATGTACATGACGTGTAGGTCTTCACGATGACACAGACTTGTTTTTCGCTCGCTTCAAAACTTGCACCGGATGTAGTTACGTCAAATTCTGGGATCTAATCCGGATCTGATCTCGTGTTGTGTTTACTCTGATCATGCACACGGGATCTGAACCGGATCTGTTCCTGCATTGCATCTACAAACGTTTTGATCCGGATCTGATCCCCCCGCCGGATCTGATCCTCCTCACTGGATCAAGTGTAAACGCAGCGTTGGAGTTCCAAGGACAACATTCAGCTGATACTACGAGAGTTGGGAACATACTTTTAGTGTGCTTCAATATCTTCAAGGAGTCGCTTTTATAATTAGATAACCGCTTTACCTGTAAGATTGCAAATATATTCACATTGCGTTATCGTGTAAAATTGCTTCATGCACATCATAACATGTACATGTATTCATATGATACATTTCCATGCAGTGCATCCTTCCAGTGCATTAGCAGCGTGGAAGTTTGTCAATTTTCTTTTGACATTTGTCACATTCCGTGTGTTTTACAGCTGTACATGTGCCGATACATTGTAATTCTTACCAGTACTAGCACGTGTCTTAAGGTACAGTAGAATACTACGATGGTGCCCAAGTTCATGTTTATGAACTGCACTTACATGTACTGCACCGACATGTAGATTTGACTCCACAGATGTAGGGAAAACCTTGTCAATGGAACAGTTATGTATATATCACATGTATCAAGGATGATAACTAATGTACATTTAAATATGCATGGGGTGTACATGTATTTGTACCGGTATATTGATATTTGTTGTATCATTTTCAAAGTCGTGCCAAGTGAAGTTCTTTAGCATCTTTGTGGAATCCATAATATGTCCCAAAAAGCAAGGCATTTCTTACAGTGTATCTTTGTTTACGTATCTCACAGGATGCTAGCGGCATGGATCGGCTGAGTCCTGAGGTGTCGTCATTGGACCATGTGCCCCACCAGCTATCCCATCATTCCTCACTCACCGGAAAGGACACTCTCCCACTGCCCGATTCGGATGTGGTCATGCGCTCCCGTGGCCTAAAAGGCGGCAAGCGGGGGTCGGAGTCCAGCGACAGTGGTGGTGGGGGCAGCAGTCAGCGGCCGGCTAGTGTGGCTGTTGTGACAGGATCACCCAAGCTGGGCCGGCGGTCCTCCAAGACGGGCTCATCCACCAGCCTCAACTCTGACTGCATGGACACGCCTCTTGTCAACCACGAGGAAATACTCCAGCTGACCAAGGACGTCAGGACGTTCTCGGAATCCCTTAGCCGACTGAAGTTCATCTTCAATCCTGAAGTCGGTGAGTTTTTATTACGTCAGCTCATTGTGGTTAGATTGAATTACATTTTGATGTCTCATCGCTCAGAGTTAAATGTATTTCGAAATTTGATTTAAAGTTTAACATATGACTCATGAGTTTAGCCTGATCAAATATTTCTAAAAATTCATATTATCAAATTTTATGAAGCCAGCTTTTCCATCTGGCATATCTTGGAGTTGGTGTACAAGTTTCTAATCAGGATGTTAGTCTTGGTCTCGAAATCATTTTAAAATTTTGAACTTTTACTGGCACCCATCAATTCCATTTACCCGAGCTGCAACGTCAACACGACACATCTGAGCTTGTGCCCTCATACACTATACATGTACACATAATATGAACCTTGTTCCCTGTAACCCCTGCTGTTCAAGCTGTTGACGTGAATACAGATGATGTCTTTTAAGCACTGGCATATGGGAGGGAAATTGCTTGCCTTGCTGGGTCGCGGAATGCTGTGCGACTGTCCCAATAATAAACAGGGAGAGCCCTTGGCAAATGTCATCTTGCCATCATCACTCCTAAGAAGTTGTGTCCGGGTCACAAGCCCTCCACATGTACAACCATGCAGGGTCAAGTACTTGCTGTAAACGATGGTCTGCACATTGTAGGACCATTTTTGTCCTGTATGTCATAAACCACTGATATTTTTTCTTCAAGGCATGCATGAATCAGTGCTGACTGGTCATGCTCAAAGTAACGTATCCCAATCAATTGTTTTTGTAGAATTTAACTGTAGAACATACAAGTGCTGGTGCATGTTCAGGTAATCTGTAATACATGTACCGATATGTAGAATTTGCTGCCACATGTATGGTACGTATCAGTAATTCACTGAGCCCCACATACATAGATAGTACCTACATGTACATGGGCATCAGTACATTCACTGAGCTGTGAAAAAGTAGTCAATTTGTCTGTGCTTCAATGTATTAGTTACACATACATGTACGTAATACTTGTACATGTACGAGTATGCAACTTGAAACATGAAATTTTCCAACTCCAGGCAACCCTATCCTTCACTACAAAATATGGTATGTGGCGATTGTGGCGCGAGATTAAAAAAAACAACATTGAAGTTAATTACACACAGGTGTATGTGTACCTGTTGTACACACCGGAAGTACCTGCGCCACTCAGTGTAAATGCAACATTTCAGGATCTCAATGGAATACCATTTGAGTTGATGCAATACATCGTGTGGAGACACAGATGCACTATTGTAAATTTGTCAGTTTGTTGGGCAATTTACAAACCAAAATATTTGGATGCAGATGTGATTAGCAAGTGTTGGGGATTTCCGTTTTGTTTTGAGCAGAACATACCAGAAGCAAACTGACATGTACACCTGCCCTGTTCCATGATGACATCACAGCATGAGGTCAAATGTGGGTCAAACAAGAGATGTGCACCCACAGTATACATGTACATGTACATGTAGGTGTCCACATGCAATTCTGCAAACACATACTGTAACATCATGTATGTGGTACGTGTACAGTACTTGCCTAGGGCAGGTTTTGCCGTGGTGGACTTCATCATAGTTGTGTGTTGCACTACGGGTACCTGCCCAGGCAAGATCCAGCTCAGTCCTCAAAATAGTATGAGTCAGTGAGGAACAATGCCGTCAATTACATGTATGTCCCCAGTGATCCACATGATTTGAGCTACATGTACGTACTATATGAAAAAAAAGGCCTGGGATATCAGTATCATTTCTGAAGGTGTACAGATCATGTCCTATTTTTCAGTCAGTTCATATGTTCTGTAGGTATAATTAGTTTTTGAGCTGTGACCTTGCAAGCCAGTGGTGATCCTTGTCATTGGATGTCATTCATCAATGTCTCCCTCAACAGCATTCCTATCAATTTCTGTCACAAATGCCTTCTACATGTATTTGAGAAGCCACTCCATCACATTGAGATTACAAAAATAACCAAGAATGCTCTTACCATCAAAGTAGTATTAAAAAAAATACCATTGTGAATGGTCATTTAGATGTATGATGAAAATTTTCAAACTGAAACAAAAGTGACATGCTTCTACAGTGTATGTCTTGTACATGTAGGTCAAGAATGATATCAATAATCAAATCAATAATTGCAACAATATCCAGAGAAAACCTTCCTAATTGATCAATTGGAATTGCCCTGTTGTCCCTCCCCTACTCTTGTGAAAAGTCCCACATGTATGTACCGGTACTGGTACCCTTTGGGCCTCATAAGATCACTATCACGCCCCAGTGGTCCTGCCGCGATTCAGACCTTTTTGACAGAGGGGTGTGTTGCTATTCAAAGGCTTTAGAAGCGACCGAGCCCCTGAGGATGAATCCTTATACGATCGATGCTTCGGATCAATGTTTATTGATTAGGAATGGGGAGAGAGAGGAAGGGAAGGGTTATCGGGTTAATGGATGGTGGTTTGGATTTTTGTGGTTTGTGAAGAATGCTCAGAGGTCTGACTCCATGCTAATAAAAACAACTGTTAATCTTGAATCTCATGGAGCTACCCAAAAGCGGTATGTACGTGTACAAGTCCACCATCAACTTTTACTCCCCTTGATTAAGCCCGGAATTTTCTTTGGATGTGCTGTTTCCTTCCCATTGTAAAACTTCCGTTGTCAGTGCCGTGACTTTGGCCAGTTGGTCAAATGATTTTGTGTCATTGAACCTGTTTCACCCACGTGCTGTTTACTACGTACAATGTACATGCAGCATTTTTCCTTAAGCCCCTATGCCTATTGGTAGTGCATCCTGAATCTATCAGAATTCCACAGGCATGTGAAGTTGGCATTTTATAGGGGAAAAAGACCCTTTGCCTTTTATCTTCATGCATTGACAAATGTCTGAAACATTTGTCTCTTGTCAAAGATGGTTTACTCCATGCTGTTTGATGGGGGTATATTGTACAAGGTATCAGTTGAAAATTCCTCACAAAAGTGTCCATTATGGATTCAGATCAAGTTGGATGATTAACATCTTAACAGTGCTTGTTCTAAAGAACTGATTAATTCAAGAATGAATAATCATACTGAAGTTGAGAATAAATCCGTAATTCAGTTCGCACTATTTTTTTCTATTAAACATTGTGCAAAGTGCCAAAATACAGGTTTGCCTAAGAAAACAAACTTGTGTGTTTATACATCCATGTACATGTATGAATGCTTTTATCATGGTATTACAGTGATAAACATTTTCCATTCTGTGAACTTGCAAAATGCTTGTCAATTACGTGCTTTTTTCAGTACCAGGTTGTTGGGTATACAGTTCTGAGATGGAACCACTCTCACTGCCCTGTGTTGTCTACACATAGGCCCCTATATGTTTATCAAAGCCCAAGTCAATTCCAAATTTAGCTGGCATGCCCTCTGCAGTATTTTAGCTACTGGTAATTTTAAACACACAGTCCTGCACTGATTGAGTTTACAGTGCCCAAGTTAATGTGAAAAGTCTTACATGTATATGTACCAGTAGCATCAAATCGAATAAGGATCTGCTTTGATTTCATACTTGTATACTGTACATTGTCACCCATATGCTTGTTTGTCTCATAAATGTTGTAATTTTGTCATTTTGACTTGTGTGCATTTTTCTTTGGGAAATTTGAAGTTTGTGTCATATCCTTATTGTTTAGTAAAAATGTACATGTACATGTAGGGTACTTACTGAAGTGAAGAATGTGCAAAACCTTCTATTTAAAACACATGCATGTACCTGTACATGTAGAACATGTGTTGGATGTTGGATTGTAACAGATTAAGGAAACCTCAAGCCCAAATCCAGGGAGTTTTAGACAAAAATATCCAGTTACATACCAGTACCACAGCCATTTTCTTATTATTCTCATGATTTTTTTAAAAATTCCTTGTCATTGTGACTTAACTGCATTTTTCTGTGGAAAATTTGAATTTTATAAGATACATATTTTTGGGTTTTTATCCAAAATGTACAAGTACATGCTATAACGCTACAGTGACCAATGCCTATTTTAATGCATGTACTAGAACATGTACATGTACATACTGGAACATGTACATATTTGTTGGATTTTCACAGATTAAAGAAACGGCTAGCCCCAAATCCATGGAGTTTCGGACAAACATACATGTACATTGTATCTGGTTATACCAATATATACATGTACATGTAGCTAAGCAACACTTGAAGCCATACAGATGTATTTTTTTTTTAGTGAGCACATACATGTAGATGCATTCTTTACAGTCGGTACCGATATGCTAATGGTTATATTAAAGCTCATTAACACTTATCTCATCAACAGCAGGTGAAAAATATTCGGCATCCAGCAATGCATTTGTTTGGAAAATCCTACTTTAATTAATTTCAGACACACCCTGCCCTCAGACGGAAGGTAAAAAATTGTTATGCTTCCTGTTTCTCAGTCTACATGTAACTCATTTTGACAGTGCAGCCCTAATGTTTTTATGGGGGAAACTTTAGGGAAAATGCAAAATTGAAAAAAGGAAGAAGAAATGAAAATATTATTCATTTTATTTAAAACATTTAAACAAACATGTGCAATTTGTACATGTACATATATGTTACGAGTACCAGTACCGGTCAACAGCCATGTCATGGTGATTGAATAAGCCTTTTGTGAGTGAAGTTTGAATAAAATCTGGTACACCGAGTTCTTTAAATTCAAGTGAACAATTCGAATTGTCCATACTAAAGACACTGCTGCTACTGGTATGTCATGTAGTAGTGACTGTAGTAGTACCCCCTTACCTGATGATTCATGGCAAGCTTTTACGTTGCTCCATTACACTGGAACCTGTCCATTCCAGGGATGGTCGCTATGCCAAAGCTTATATCATAAGATACATGTGCATGTATATACCTGTAGCAACAGTGTCTTTTGTCTAGGGAATTCAAATTGTTAGTTTACAATGTGTGTTCACTTAGCTACATTGTAACTACCAGCAAGTGTACCAGATTTTATTCAAATTTAATCCGTAA